AACAAAATACGTATTTAAAATTGTTGAGTGAAACATGTATTTTCTTAGATTGAAAGTAGTTTGTAAAGTGGCGATAAGAGACGGTATTTAAAGTAATGTGCGCTTTTCAAGGTGTTTTGTAAATCAGTGGTTGAAATAAAACAGAGAAACATGAAAGAAAACAAACAAAACAGAAATTAATCGATTATTCGTTGGGCTGTTTTCGATATATTGAATTCTAAATTACGATAAACATTTTAGGAATTTCTTTTTTGTGACCTGGTTGTGAATAATATAATGAATCATTTTCGTAAACGTCATAAACGTAATGTTTCAGCCTTTTAGTTAATTTTCGGTGGTTTTTGTTAAGTTTTCATTGAAAGGGTAAGTACTAAAAATAATTAATGTTTTTTTTTCTATAATAATTATTAATAATGAGCACTGATAAAAGATTAAATTTAACACTCCTAATTTTTGAGTAGAAATTTGTCTATGAATTTATAAATGTAGAACTATGTAGAATGTGGATAACATAGGCGGTTGCAACACTGCAAGGTTTAGATACACCGTAGAGAAATCTCAGGTGAATAAACAAGTGGCACTAAAAAGTTTTTTCAAATTTCCCGGAAAATGTCAAGAAGAATTTTAAATTTTCAACATTTTTCGCTCATAGGCGTGTTTCTGGGGTTGAACTATACTACCAGTTAAAATATTTGCACTTATTTCTGGGACACCCTGTATAGCGAGTAATTTGTTACAAAACCATATAAATTATATACATCTGTAATCACAAAACTTCATCCTTTATCTTTAATTTCCTTCTTTATTTGCGTAAAAATACCTAGCCAGTTATACATAAAACGTTAAATGCCGAACGCTTATTTTGGTTGCAGTTTGTTTTTCTTGGAGCTTTACTTGTTCAAGTAAAAATGGAGTGATAACAAAAGTGATAACAAAACATAGCATGAATAAATAAATAAAAATAAAAAAAAAACACTAAAACTGTGACACCAGCATTTACATAGCCACCAAGAGAGAAATATTTATTTTTCCAGAGAAGAATATCAAAGAGCTTTTACGATTTTTTTCTATCTTTTTTGCCAATTAGTCTTTATTCTTTTAGAGGTATTGTGCGGAACTTCATTGTTGTTTTAGTTATTATTCTTCTCCGCTTTTTCTCTCCGAATTTGAATGTATAAGTAGTTTGATGCGACAAGACCCGCTCGTTGGAAATTCTCGAGGTTTATGCTAATAGGATCGCAATTTCTTTATTTTTCCTCTTTTTTTATTTTATTTGTTCCTTGTGCGGCAATGAATAGAGAACTTTGTTATTCGAGACTTTCCAATAGAGATTTTTACTTGAAACCTTTACAAGAAACTTGAAAATTGATTTGTATAGGAAAAAAAATCGTTAGAAATATTCTTTTCTACATAGCAACTGTTAAAATTGCCTAATATCTATCAAAAATAGTAGATAAAATAGTACTTTAACCTCAATGGTAGATTAAATGATACTTTAACAGCGAGGATCGGTTAAAAACTTTATTTCTTCTCGCACGTTTTTTAATTGCTTCCATTTTTGACAAAAAATTGTATTCCTTTTCATTCGGAATTTATTCGGGATTTAAATGGAAGTAGTTTGGATATGGCGTTTGTCCTGAATATCTGTTGGTAATTTACTTATTTCGTTTTGAGCCATATCTGGCTCCGATTCAATCAGCAATCGACACGAAAGAGAATTAAAAAATATTGACTCAAAACTGACAACTAAAGAGACAGCTTTATTTATTTGTCAAATTACATAGAAACCAACGCCAACCCAGCACAATATTTTTTCTACACGTAATAAATTCCTTGAAATAATAATTTCTGAATATTTTTTAAAAAAAAATATTGTTTTATACACGACGATAAAATACCATTTTATCGTCTTGTATAAAAAAAAACTATGATTTACTTAATTTCATTTAATTCATCTCATCTATCAGTCTAATTGGTAATAAACGAAAAATTTACAAACAACATTCTAACATTTCCTTATACAGTTAGAGATAAATATCTTAACGTTTTTTTTCTATCAAAATAATGTCAGTACAAGTTCAAATTAATATTATAATACATTAAACATGCTCCGAGCCGAAGTACATCAAAGCGAAAGCATTGTTCTGGCGCTAGGCAATTTAAATTTCGTGTTCAGATACCTTTATAAAGACTCCTCAAAGTTTACCCTGTCTTGTTTATGTTTGTACAAGGAAAACTTGCTCGCTACAAACTACAAAGATTGTTTTCCTATTTTGTTGACTAGTGTTGTGTTGCGAACCTGTTTGAGAATACAGCTAAAATATAAACAGATATAAACACCACAGAGGTTTGAGTATTATATACGTAATATTTTTTTGTTAATTCAAAATTGTTAAAGGTTATTTCTATTTGTATTCGATAATAAAAGAGAAATAAAGAATGTAAAGATCGTTATATTATTATGGAGTTCGCGTGACCAACGATATTTTCGAGCATTCTGGTTAATCTTTTAGGCACCTAGCAATCAGGTTAAACGGACTTTTACAGCATAATAGTAATGAGTTCTGTTTGGACACACGTCACAGAAAACATTAGTTTAATTTTGGGGAAATTTTTTTGGGTCTGTCACTTTGAAATTACGTTTATTAAGGTCTTTAACCTCATCATACAGTTTTAGGCCTTTGACAAAAGCCAGTATTTGAGACTGTTTTACAGAGTTTAGTACTCGATCTTCGATATCAGTCGTACCAAAGTTTATGGTACGAATGGTTGTCATTTGGGCACACTCAGTGATGATGTGTTCTAGTGTTTACTCATTTTCCATACAGAATCTGCATTCGCCGTTGTTTCTCAGCTTTAATCTGTTGAGGTACTTGGATTGCTAAAAACGATATTGTTATTCAGGCTTCCAACCATTTTATGTTGATTTTTTCAAGCGTTTTCTGTGATTTTTCTAAGGCGTTTGACTGTGTAAATCATAATATCCTAATTAATAAACTGCAGCACTATGGGTTCAGGGGAACATATCTCGAATGGTTTAAGTCGCATCTGAGCAATAGAAGTTAACTTGTGAGGGCGGATACCACGTTGTCTTCTAGCAAGCCAATAGAATGTGGAGTACCTACTAGGCCCTATTTTGTTTCTTCTTTTTATTAACGACAATGCTAACATAAACATCAGTGGTAAAATATGTCTTTTTGCGGACGACACTTGCTTCACTTGGAGCTTGGAGCAACAAGGACGTCACGGTACTTCATAGGATTATATCAAATAATTTAATCATCATTAAATCTTGGTGCGATTCCAACCTCCTGAGTCTCAACATTTCTAAAACTAAAGCTTTGTCGTATAAAAACTTGCTGCAGCCTTTTGTACTTAACAACACCACCATTGACGTCGTAAAATCTGTAAAATTCTTACCGGCTTGTTGTAAACAATTCTCTAAAATGGGACATGCATATCGACGCTGTGTCGAAAAAACTAAGCTCGGTCTGTTTTTCATTAAGATCTGTTTTTAAGGAGCTTAACTTGTCAGTGGCTAGAACTGTTTATTATGCACTTTTTGAGTCGCACCTTAGGTATGCCCTTTCATTCTGGGGTACGTGTTGTGCGACTCAATTTGACCGCATTTTCAAGCTCCAGAAGAGAGCTCTTCGATATTCACTGGGACTAAACAGCAGAACTCATTGCCGGGACTTTTTTAAAAAATTAAAAATATTGACTCTTCCTTCTTTAATTATGTTTGAATCCGTTTGCCTAATACGTAAACATGTATCAGCTTCTCAAGAAAGGCCATTTCACACTTATCCACTAAGGAACGCAGAGCAAGATCTTTATCTACCTACCCCACGCTCAGAGTTAGTTAAAAGTTCAATATTATACAACTCGAAAAAAATGCACAATCACCTGCCATTTGAAATCAAATCCATAACATCATTTTTTTCATTTCGCAAAGCATTGAACTCTTATTTACTAGACAAGGCTTTCTACGCCGTAAATGAATTATATTTTGAAAATAAAATTTGATCTTGTAAACACTGGTCTAATGTTTGCTATTGCTATATTTACTAACGACATCGAAATGAATTTATTTAGAGGTCATTGATATTTTACTATAAACTAGCTAAATATTTTTGAAAATTATTTTTATTTTTTGTTCTTTGACATTATAAACATTTATAAATGTTTATTTTAACAATAAGACTGACAATATTATTTGTATAATGTTTTGTATTATCTTTTGTTTGTTTGTTTGTGTACCTTGTTTTTTTACTTTGTTTGTTAGTTTGCCTTTGTCTACAAATTGAAAAATTTTTTGACAATAAAGGCATTTATTTATTTATTATTTATTTATATATTGCATAGTAACATAAACGGACCCTAATAATTTATTAATTTGCAACAATGAAAGTAGAACTGGTAGATCCTTTTAAATCAATTGTTCTTTAGAGATTGGACATGAAACAGTTCTGCTATTGGATAAAATTTTGTAGGGCACTCTCGTGTTATAACATTACTTGAGAAAATTAGCCTAAACTAAACATTTCCCAGCGTGACTTATATGTAAGATAACATACTAGTACCATAAATAACTATTATTTCTTACTGAATTAATATAAGCTAAATTCAATAAGAAATAAAATTATTTATGTACCACGGTAGTTATTAAGTGTTAAACACTTCGGGGTAATTATGTTCAGAAACTTTATCCTCTGTAACTAACACACTTATAACTTCCTTGATACATAAATAACTATAATCTTTAACTGTATAGAGATTTAAAAAAGTTAAATCAGTGGTGAAGATAAACGTTGTAGGTGTACCTATATCTAAAACCACAAAACTTAATTTTGACACAAATCTGCCCTTGTCAGGTCCTTTAAATTTACCCCATGCCTTTTACTCCCGATCTCGTGCCTGTAATCCGACAAATTAGGGGAATGAAATCTTATAAATAGCTTTCTAACTTCAGAGGCAACAGTTCATTTCCAGTCCTGCTCCAGTCATGAGGCAGAGTCTTTAATAATTCTCGTCTCTAGTTGTTTGTGTAGGGTATCGGAAAAGATCTTGTGGTTAAGCGTGTTTTGGTTCGGGTGTTTTTGTGTTTATATTTTTAAATTTGTTTATGAATAAAACAGCAAAGCCAGGGATTATTGAGAGTTAAACTAAGGTAATATATCAAAAATTAAAGCAGCTTAGATTATTTTGTTTAAGTAAAATGTGTGTCTTCATTTACTGACATACTAGCGTGTACCCGCGACTTCTTTCGCGTCGAATTAATCATTTGTATTGGTGAGGATAAAGCAAAGAAAGAATTTCCATTAACATTACAAACTGGATAAAATTTTCTCACATTTATGTCAGCACGAGAAAAAACAATATGGCGATATTATTATATAACTTGGTAATATTTGAGGGGTAGTTTTATCTCGTTGGAATTTGACATTCAAAAAATCCGTTTGCCAAAAATAAGCTTTTTACGTCAAGCAGTTTAAGCAGAATCGTGTTTAAGAAATTACCCAACTTTTTTGAACACCCTGTATGTTTTTTTATTAAATTTCAAAATATGTAAAAAAAAACAAATAAATTTTCAAGCGTTTTCCCGAAAGACTAACCGTTTTTTAAATAACAAATATTTTAATATTTGAGGGGCGTTTTCACCCTCTTGGAATTTGAGATTCGAGAAACCCCTCCTTATCGAACCTCTACACTCCATAGTCAATCCGTTTGCCAAAAACCAGCTTTAAACGTCAAGCAGTTTAAACAGAATCGTGATTACTCAATGGTCATATTTTATGAAACACCCTATATAAATTTATAAAAAATCTTAAAATATGTAAAACAATAAAATAAAATATACGTGTTTAAGAGTTTTTCCGAAAAACTCACCGGTTTTGAAATAAAAAATATTTTAATATTTGAGGGATAGTTTCACCCCCTTAGAATTCGAGTTTCGAAAAATCCCTTCTTATCGAACCTCTACACCCTAAAGTCAATCTGGTTTCCAAAAATCAGCTTTTTACGTCAAGCGCTTTAAGCAGGATCGGGATTAATCAATGACCAGATTTTTCGAAACACCCTGTATACATTTTTAAAAAATCTTAAAATATGTAATAAAAAAAATAAAATATACGTGTTTTTTCGGAAATTTACCGTTTTTTAAATAAAAAATATTGTAATATTTGAGGGGTGGTTTCACCCTCTTGGAACTGGAATTTCGAAAAATCCCTTCTTATCGAACCTCTACACCCTAGAATCAACCTGTATGTCAAAATTGAGCTTCTTACGTTGAGTGGTTTGAGCAGGATCGTGATTAATCAGTATGTCAGTCTAAATTATAAGAAAATGCATTTTCTACGAAAATTTGAAGAGATTGGTAAAATATGATATAATACTTTTTGATAGACAACTAAATTTCGCATCTGATTCTCGTAAAATATACAGGGTGTTCCATTTAAATCAAACAAGTTATTGCCGTTTAAAACTAGTAATTATTTAATATAAATTTTTAGACACTGTGTATAAGGCAGTATTTAGTTTATTATTGCAACACAATATCTGATCAATAAATAAACTTCAGTAAATATTTAGTATTAAAAACTTTGATACCCTTGGATAAAATTGAAAATATTTCAAAAACGGTAAAGTTTAAGTGCGATAAACGTTAAGCAAATTTACCTTTATTTCAATCGTAGAATCTAAAATATAATAATATAGAGGGTGTTCCATTTAAAAAAATATAACTATAATATTTTTTACTTATTTGGGACACTCTGTATCTTCGAAAAATATTTTTAAATTGTAGCTCTAATAGTCCTTCAACGAACCTAAAGCTTACGATTTGTAAAAATCTAATCGCTTACCTACAATACTCCGTGTCGTATGTGGTGAACACCCCTGTATATGTTTTGTTTTTAAAAACATTACTAAACCGTCTTTTTTGAAATATTTTTTCCTGAATTTCAAAAAACTTGCATAGAAACCATAGATGTATGATATCCTTGCGTGTTTTCCAACCATATTAATAGACAACTAGCACATGAAAGAGACTTTCTTTACAATTTCAATTTTGAAAATGAGTCCGAAATAGATGCAGATGCAAAATTTCCGTTATTTACCGACTGCGAAAAACATTTTCCGCATGTACCTACTTGTTTTTCCGCTTTTTGTTGCGCCTATTTCGCATCGTTTAATATCAAACTCTTTCTGGAAATGAAAAAGGAAATAGTGCACCGTTCGGGAACCGCCTTTAATAAGCCTCCAGCTATTTTCAGCACATTTTTCGAAAATATTTCTTTAAATTCGGAAAAATAAAAGTATATATACATAATCTTTAGTAAATTTTGAAAATTTTTTCTAAAAATAAGATAGAAACAGTTACTTTATTTTAAAATCGACGAAATACCAGAATACTATACCAGAGGTATTAATATCTAATAATTAAGATATTAATAACAGTGAACAAGAAACCATGATTCGGTGAAGTCATGGTAGGCTTACCATGATTCGGTGAAGTCATGGTAGGCTTTGGAAAAAAGTTGCTTTTGGCGTAAGAGTATAAACGTCAAATTGTTATTAGATCAACATTTTGATAGTCTTATCAGCGTTTTTTATCTTTTAATTGCTTTTTCAAAATGCCTTTATTATTTGAAATAGTTGGAACTTGTTGGCATTTCTTTATCGTAATTTTCTCCTAGAATTTGTCGAGTTTTTTGTCTTATAAACGGTCTAGACCTCTTTAATGCGCTTTTTTCCATCTTATTTCATTTTCATTTTTCTTTGTGCGTTTGACAAGAAGTTTTTCGAGACGATTTTTCAGGTTCTTAGCTTTTTTCTATGTTATTTTTATTAGGAGCCTGTAGATATTGGTTTATGTCACTTTTTTATTAAAGGCAGACATGAATATTTTAATTTATTGGATCTTTTTTAAAAAAAAACATATCTACTAAAGTATAAGATGAAATTTGTTATCTTTTATTTTTGAATATTCTCAGCTGTTTATTTTTATTTGCCTTAAATATAACAGTCTCTGGAGGATTTTTTTGATTATGTGCAACTTCTGTATGCATCCATATGTTATTTTGTGCATTTGACTATAATACCGGTAACTGTAGTCCGAACTGTATAATCAGAAATATTAAATAGCTTTAGCAAGCAGGATTTTTAAAAAAATCATCCCAATCTACTTACACTTTTTTGAGCCACCCTGTAGAAGTTAAAATATTTTCCTCAGATACATCCTACTATACAGGGTGTACCAGAAATAAGTGCAAGTATTTTAACTGGTAGTATAGCTCAACCCTAGAAACACGCCTATGAGGTTTTTTTGAAAATTTTTTCGGATTTTTTGTTAGTTTTTAGTTGAAAAACATAATTTCTTGATAATATGGAAACATAGGTATTAGATTAAATTTACAAGAAAGAAAATCCAGAAAAGATCCAGTGGTTCTCAAAATTTTAGCAAAAAATCATGTTTTTTGGAAATAACGGCTTATCAGAAAAACGATAAAGAGAAAATACGTTTCTTTTATCGAGATCTACCACCCCCTAAAATACTTGCACTTATTTCTGGGACACCCTGTATATACTTTAGGTTGGCACTTATACAACGTTTCTAGTTATTTTTTATTATAGGAGCTACAGATGCCTGACGCAGTGTTGCCGGGCCCGTATAAAGTAGTAGAAAAAAATTTAGATTAAAGTGACTTTGAGAACTTTTTGATAGGCACCCTTATAACATCACGCACAGAATAAAAATAGTTTTAATTTGACGTATAAATGATCAAAAAATTTTATGAAAGTAATGTAGTTTCAAAAACCAACTGTTGTTATTATTAATTAAACATATTTGCGATAATTTTTTGATAGACACCCTGTTAAAGTGTATTCTCCTGTTCATAAATATACGTAAAAATTAAGTTTTGATTAAAAATACAACTGTCATTCTTAACTTCATCAACGCTTTTTATAAATAGAATATCGCTCTTAACTTAAACTGAAATGTTTATATATTTCCCGCCGTTTTCACTCTAAGGAAAACATTGTAAAACCATTAAAGCTCTGAAGCTTGATATGATATATTAATGGGGAAATTAAATTAATGTCTTAAAAACAATATTAATTTGTTAAAACAACATCGTTGTTCGCCATTTTCTTGAAATTGATGGAGTAGCTTGTAAAAGAACATTTAATTTGCTTTAATGGCTTTGTTGTTATTATTATATGTTTGTATTATATTACTATTATACGCCTAAAATATAATACATTATTAGTGTATCATTCTACTAATTTATATCTGATATTCTCGTACATATAAGGTAATAAATATTATTATTATTCTTGTTTCAGATACTGAAATGTCACAGGATTAGATAAGATTTTGGTCCCCGAAAGCTTCCTGAAATCTTCGAATCAATATGAACTCTAGCCTGAAAAATCAACATATCAAAATTTCTGGAATAAATCTCCATTACCCATGGGAAAATGGCAGATTCTTCAACAATGCGCCATGAAAAATGCAACGTCGCCGGTGTAACAATTGAAATTGTTTTATAGAGGGTGTTGTTATCACTATGAAACGTTTTCTGTCAAGTTTTATAGTGTGCTTGTTAGTGTTGTTTGGGGTGACTGGTGAGTTGTGGACTAAGAAAGAAGATAGATTCTATGGTGAGTAGTATTTTTAGTTTATATTTTATAAAAAAAACGATTTCTTAAAAATATTTTACACACTCATATTTTCTAAAATCGTTAACATATCCTGTATATTTTGGATCGTTTTTCATAGGATGCGAATTTTTCGAAAAACAAAATTTGATTTTCTCGATATGGGCATATTTTTGAGTAGAGAGCTAACAGAGATAATCAAAATGAACTTACTCTTTTTTCTTAAATTGGATGATACATACGGTTTATACATTATATACATTAGATCATTACATATTATCTATTTGCTTTAACAGTCTCTGGTTGAAAAATCGACCACCACACTCCCACTCCCTTATTTGTTAACTTTTTGAAAAATTCTATTAAGAAGATATGCTTCCTTTGAGCTAGTTTATATATTTTTGAAGTCATTTTGATCAAACTATATTAAACTTTCTATAATTCGTGTCAATTTTCTACAAATTTTATGTCAGTTTTTAGTAAATAATGTCATCTAGAGATTGATTGACTATTAATAAAAAATAATCTCCAAATACTTTTTGGTTTTTTAACCAAATACTCTATAACACTAAATTTTACTCTTTTTTATTTTGATGTAGGGACAATGCAAATTGTCCCTGCATCCCTTGACAGAAAAGCCCTGAAATTAAACCAGACCCACTCACAAGTATCACGATACGCCGAATTTGCCTTGATTAAAAGCAATTAAACGAAATGAAAACTACTTTGTACTTAATTTGTCAGCCAGTGTTCGGGAATTGCTCAAACGCCCTCTGCAGGGCCAGGCTTGGAATTAGATCTATGTCGATTTTAATAGAGATAGAGTAGGAACAATGTGGACACAGAAACAAAGAGCGAAATCGAGATAGACAGTGGCGACTCGTGAAGTAATGTCACAGAGCCATGACACTTCTTTAGTTGTGCCATATAAACAACTAGTTTTTTATCTCCCAATTTTTTTTCTCTCGATCTTGTTCTCTCGCAGCCATGACAATCGCATATTCTTGTACAGAATTGAACGCTCTACAAAAAAAGTCTTTTACAATTTTTCAATAAACGTAGGTACTCCTTCAAAAGTTATTCACGGTTAAAATTAACCACTCGGTAAATTCCTAAAATTTTCAACTTTTTCGACAAAATTATGATTATTTTTGAAAAATTCAATCCACTATTATTAATTTAATTTATTATTTGAAAAAAAAAGTAATTTTCATGATACTATGAAAAACTATTTTGAATCATGAAAAAAAGTTGAATGCATGACAGGTAGTTAATTCTAATACTTATTATACTATCAGGCAGAAAATGGTTGAAGCTTTAAAAGTGAATAATGACGAAGAGTTCGATATTTCTAAACGCTTGAAAATGATTTTAAATTGTTTATAAACAAAAACATTGATTATTTCATAAATTCAAATTCGTTACAATTTTTTAAACGGTTTTATATTGATACAAGTTTTCTGCAATTAGACAGTAAGGAATGGTTAAAGGGATCCTGGATATATGAGAGACTTAGAAATTGTGAAAAAATTGAGAGTAGTTAATGATACTGCAGAAAGAGTTCTTAAATTGTCAGAATACATTAATTTTTTATCTAGAAGTAAAGATGAAAAACAATATGTGATTCAGATTGTAACCGAGTTTAAGAAGAAATATCAAAATCCATCTAAAGAATATTTATTAAAATAAATCAGCTATACTTAAATAGTTTAAACTTCATTAGAGTTAAAGATTTCTTAATTCCCAACCTTAAAACCATCAGAATTGCATATCTTTACACTAATTGATTAAATTTTTCAAAAATAATCATAATTTTGTCAAAAAAGTTGAAGAATTTAGAAATTTACCGAGTGGTTAATTTTAACCGCGAATAACTTTTGAAGGGGTAGGTTTATCGAAAAATTGAGAGAGATCTTTTTTGTAGAGCGTTCAATTCTGTATAAGAATATGTAACTGTCATGGTTGCAAGAGAATAAGATCGAGAGAAAAAAAAATATTTGCAAAAAGTGGCAAATTCCCATGTAATTTTAATGGGAAATGAAGGTTTATTGTGAATATTAAGGGTTTACAATAGTCTGTTATTTTTTTTAGACAATAAGCTAAAAATTTAGAAGGCGTAGTGAGATAAATGATTTGTAAATAACGGACACCCTAATGTATATGATAATAATAATAAGTGTAGAGTGGTTATTAGTAAACATAAAAAAAGATCTCAATTCACATTGGTAGCTTTTACGTCGCACAAATAAGCTTCAAAAAGAAGAGAAAGAAAATTCAATCAATCCGGCGAGGAGAAATTTAAATTCTTTATTGCTGCCCTCACATTAGGCTTTTAAGTTAAGCAGCGTTCCCAAAAAGCCCATTTGCATATTCGAGGGTCTCCTGCGCAACGAAAACCTGTAAAAAGTAGAGAAAATGAGGGAAAACAGGGGATTTTCTATATATTTTAGCCACTTTTCTCGATAAATATCTCCCCAGGTTTGTAGGGATTATATTATTGATTAGGGCAAAAAATTTCTTTGGGGGAAAATGAAAAAAACAAACATTAAAGTTTGATAAATATTGTGAGTATTTTTAAAACACAATTGTCCCATCCTACACCTACTCAGCAGACATAATAACTATAAAATTTTATACTGCCATAGTTTTTTTTAATAAAACGAACAATATCGAAAAATTTTACAGGCTATGGAATACTGGGAAAGTGAATATCGTAAAAGTTATATTAACATCTGGTCCAGTTTTAAAATTTAATCAAATTTTTCCAGTAATGTAGTAAATTGTTCAGTTTTTGTCAAATTATCCAGTGTGAGTATCCCAATTTGGTTGAATTTTATTTTACAAGTTAATAAAATCTAGAAAAACATTTTTAAAGAAACTTTTTTATTCTTTCGTGACGTCCAAAATCAATAATAAAGAAGTTTTTTCTTTTGTTAAGACAATCTGGGGACATACTGTATGTATAATTATTTTAAATTGCTTTGTATGTCGTTCTTCATATTCGAAGCAGTCACACAGGTGCAAAAGGTGTTTATATCTTAATTCCTTTGGGATTGGATGTATGCCTTATATCCTTGTCACATGTGCACAAAAGGAAATCTGAAAAGAAAAAATGGCGGGACAGGAAGATACCCGGAAAATGCCACCAAATAGAAATTTAATAAAAACGTTGACATGTATAATGCGGTTTGATTGAAGTACGCTTTTCCCCCCGAGTCACTTATGAAAAATGGTTTTCTTTTTTCGCTTGGGCGTCACAGCGGAAAACCTCTATACTAGTGAATAGCATTATTCATAAGCATTTTTTTCCTTGCCTGTCATGTTCCGATTTTTTCCGCAAGCTATTTTTGACTTACTACGAATAAAGTTTGTGGAGAATCGTACTTTGACTGAACCGGTAAGAGTGACAAGTAAAACTTTATGCGTAGACGGTACTTCAGGGTATGTTAAACAAACTAAAAAAGAACAAGCATGGTTTAACTATAAAAGGGAAGTTCTCTAGACTGCAAGACTCAACCAGGGCTGGTGAGATTAACATTGCATCCTTATTTTGAGGGTTTGCTTGCAAGGATGGCAAATTTAATCAATTTTATGTCAAGCAAAATTATTTGTTGGGGACCCAACGTTGCTCTTTATTAATAAAATTGCATTGGGGGCTGTGGGGAGGCTAATATTAAATCTACAAGACATCTATACGATATTATGTAAATATTTTCGAGTTTTATCAATATTTTCTATGTTATTACGAAATTTATTCCAATATATTATATTAAATTTCTAAAATATTTAGCTTAAAACGTCAAAATATCAATGCTATAGTGTTATATTTAAATAACCACATCAATTATAAGGTGCTCATCTCTTACAAAAATCAAGAAATAGTCTTTATCTGCCCTTTAAAAACTGTCTTTAAGGTACGTCTTTATGAATATTATCCGTGGGTATTTTTAAACGCCGCAACTGTCAAAAATCATCCCACGATTCGTCGGAGGGCATCTGGTTTTATCTCTGAAGGGAGGATCTACTTAAATTTCATGACATAAGCCCACTCAAGAACGAAGAAAATGGAAAAAAATTCGCTCTGAATGTATTTTTGAAAAAATAACTTCTTTTTTTAGAACGTATAATAATATTGGTCTTTATAACACTATAAATATGTAAACATTCTAAAATATCACCATATACCGGGTGTTGCATCGTCGGACGGGACATAGGAAATCCCATGTAAATTTTAATGGGGTCAGTTATTGGCTTCCCTAATTATTTTAGAGAATAATTCTATTTAGGTTTATTGAAGAGCACTAAAACCCACGTTCAAAAGAATAACTTTAGATATTTTTGATTAGCTCGTTTACGAGTTATCGCCGATTTCTTTTTAAATATTTCTCCTTTCTTATGGCCCTGTATTTACTTATGAGCACCAGTCAAGGTAAAAGATAACTGTCAAATGAAGTTGTCATTTCAGAAATTTACCTATTTAGTGCTTTATTATTATTGAAAACTCATTCCTACATCGGAAATCTTAAAGATGTATTTATAAATACAAATTAATATGAATTAAAGTAAAATAAAGTAATCAATTACAAGGTTAATTATAGTATTATTACATATTCAATAACTTATTAATTTAGGTACTATTAAATTGTTAGAACTTTAGGATTTAAGAAGATGTTCAAATATTCCTCCATCGACTGCTAGACAATAACCCAGGCGATCATAAAATTATCTTCTTACATTCGCTAGTTGGTAAACTGAAATTCTATTGCATTCGGCAGAAATAGCATTTTTTAACACGTCTAGATTTGGGTATTTTTTATCCTTGTATATCCTATTTTTTAAATGGCCCCAGAAAAAGAAATCATTTGGCGAAATATCAGGAGACCTTGCTGGCCAATTTACTGTATGATTTAGGCCAATAACGTTTCCGTTAAAACTATTGTCTAAATATTCCCGAACAGCCAGGGTACTATGTGCCGGGCAGCCATCCATTTGGTACCAAACTT